GAATCTGAAAAACCCTCTCTCCCATCCTGAAAGGAATAATATCATCTAGAGAAAATGACTGATATTTTGGGAGATCGAGGGCCATCATCAAATAGTCATCTCGTTTGGCCACGTACGTAGGCAAAGGATCAATGAAATCCACAATCTTGTACTGTTGTCCAAAATCATGTATAAACGCTGTTTGAACTTCAATCGGGATATGCCTCAGCTCCACCTAATAAAAGTCCTTCATTAGTTGATCCCTTTTCTCCTCTGGTCCCACTTTTTTCGGTAACCAAGGATACATGCGAATCTCAGATCCCACCCATTTCAACTTTTTCCAACTGTCCATTTGTTGCTTGTCCTTTTCAAACAAGCTAATGACTGTAAATACTGTTGGTGAAATTGGTTGAATTAAAAATAATTCAAAAACAGCGTCAGGACCGTCCTTCATAGACTCTAGCCTTTTACATATCCACTTAGTTTTGTCATTCATTGATCGTGCTGCACTGTGATCGTAAAAAATTCAATTCCTTGCGTGTTTAGTATACACCGAATCTCTTTTCGCCAGCTTGTCTGTTGGATATGCTTTCATGAGTGTCTTCTTTCCTCCCTGATTCATTACCACTTGTTCCGATGCTTGAAGGAAAAGAGATAGGAAGTATGCTCTTGCTGAAGACAGGTTCCTCAACGGGACCTTGAGTTCCTCCCCTTGTGAACCAGAAGAACCAAGTGTCACCCTGCTTATGTTCAAAGTTTTGTCCCTCATTGTCTCTCGTACCCTCTGCGCCCAAGTGGGTTGAGGTGTTTTGTTCCCCATTGGAGCCGAGGAGGATGATTCCCCACTGTTAGCAGATGCAGGGACGGACTCACTATGCTCTTGCGGTAAATGGGAAGACTGAGTTATGAAATTTCTTTCTTCTTCTGTCAAAACTTCTCCCCCCATCTCCGTGTCCCCTTGAGTGGTAACAACACTCTTTCCCTCCATTCTTTCTTGTGACTAACTGTGAGTTCTAAGAGTTGTGGTGAGAGGAAGAAGAGGCCATATTCCTTCTTTCGTGCATCTGTTCCATCTGTATGTTCCCTTCTCCCTGCGCATCAATTTGCTTTGCTGTGATATTTGGCATTTCTTGTCCTACCTTCTGAATTAGGCACTGTTGCGCCATTGTCATTGGTTTGTGCGTTGCCCATGCCAATCGTTTCTCTCCACCACTCCCCTGCTCATGCGATTTTTTCTGTCCCGAACCCTGTGTGTTCATGCCTACCCTCGGACGAGAGTACGGATTTGTGCTCAACTGGCGAAAGAGGGTGTGTCTCATTGCCCCTTGATAAAATAAGAGCGATTCCGGTCTCTTCGCCCTTCTGAAATTCGACTTCATTTTGATGACCTCTTCTTACTTCCACGTCACTATCTGAAAAGAATAGAAGAAAAGAAGGATTGAATTCCTTTCAACTGAAGATTAAATAAGATTGATTATGTTTAAATAATCAATTGGGCGAAAACCAGATACTGAACCCCGGGAGAATGCCAAAAATAGGTCATATGAGGGTAGGAGTAGGCAATGATGACGTACCTTTGAAGTACAAGAACCTCAAAAAATTATTGTCGATCGAAGTACTTGTTATACTCCTTTGATGCCCTCCGTTTTGCTGAAACCTTGTCGCTCTTTACTGCCTCACACTTCAACTCCGTTCTTCTACTTATAATTGAACTCCCACTTATCACTCTTTACTACCTCACCCACCAACTCCGATCTTCTCCTTATAATAGTACTCCCTCTCTCGATATCCACCTTCCCCTACTTACTCGCCAGACTCACTTGAGCATACTCATATTGGTGAAAACGACATTCCTTCTCCCTCCCCCTACGTACGTCACCAGACAATCGAGTATTGCTGTTGAGAGATAATTGATTGCCCTACTTCACCTTGGCATTATCCAGACCCGAAATGTTGACCCATTTGCATATTTGATCACACCTTCAAATAATCATTCGCCAACTCTCGTCGAAACACTGAGACTGTGGAATTATCGACGCCGAATGAAGGACACTGATTAACACCACTCACCAACCCTCCAATCCTCTTTCTGAATGCAGTTCCAATACATCATTACTTCCTCTGACGATTGATGTAGTTGCCCTGTTTGACACAGACGAAAGAGGCACTACTACTCCCCTTCAACCACCCTATCCGCCTTCCACCAAGAATTTTCCAACAATACACGACGACACTCATGAAGTAGCCCCCAACTCCCTTGTCCTTATGAAGACCATAGACTATGGAAGCCTTAATTCCGACTGAATGTTATGCACATGAAATAACACCCAACTGCCTTGACCTTATGGAGACCATAGGCTAGGGAGCCTTGACTCCGACCTCAAAAACACATACGTAACGAGAACAACTTGACTTCACGAACGGCACATGATGCCGCTGACCAGGATTTAATTAGGATGACTATTGCCCCACGACTAGCCCACTTCATGAGCTCATATACTACAAGAGATGCTGAACACACATTCCTTACACGATGACCCACCAACCTCCTTCCTGAGTGAAAAAACCAATGCAAAATATCCTCACCAAATGACGATTGTAGCTCTTGACGTTCGTGAACTTGCCTTGTTTGTCGCCGAAGTAAGAGACAATTGTCCCGCCCCTACAGTCGCCCACTTAGTCCTCACCAAGACCAACCTCCGCTGATTCCATATGCGTTGACCTAGGTCAACGCACTAGGCGAAATCGCCGCACTCAGTAGGACGATAGCTATGGAACCTTTGACGCGGAATCAAGGACGCAGACTAATAGGAGAAAGTTCTCACCTACTCGGTCTATTTCCTGGATCTAGTGTGAAGCCATTTCAGCCTGTGACATGGCAGTGCTAAGTGTCCCGGCTAATAACGCGCGTGCGCTAGGCGCGAAAAAATCTCTGCCTCCCCAGAGGCGCGAAAAAATGTCTGCCTCTACGACAAACTTCGAAAACAGGCAAAGTTCAGAAAACGACTCAGAAACCTTCCATCAATCCTCTTTACCTCACTCCGGCAAGACTTACTGCAGCAGAGCCCAAGATCAGGAATGCACTGATGCGTATAATTGGTCTCTAATGCTCCTGGTAACTGTCAAGAGACCTGTGTATACTACTACTCACCATAGACTACTATGTAGGCATATAGGCAAGAAACCTAGCCTGCTGTGTGGATAATTCTACCAAACATCACTCTCAGTACATGGACCCGCTGGCTGTCATTCCAAATGCATGTCTGTCAGGTTAGCTCTCGCAAATGCATGCCATTCAGACTAACCGTAATCACAGCATTGTTACATACCATCACTCACCATAGGATGTCATATAAGGACAATCACCAAGGACGCTGTGTGGATTTATCTGCCAAACCTCACTCTTAGTACATGGACCCGGTAGGCTGCGGTCATTCTAAATCATGTCTGTTAGGTTAGCTCTCACAAATGCATGACATTTAGTCTAACCGTAATCACAACACTGTTACATACCATCACTCACCATAGAAGTGTCATATGCGGATGACCACTAGGGTTTAAGGGTTTAACAGATTAGACACAACAACATGAGGCTATTAACAGCTAGACAGTAATCCACATTCAAAAGATACAAATGGATAGCTAGCAAGAACAGAAGACTGGGCCGCTCTCTGCCCGGCCCCCCCACCGCCACTGACATTTCATGTTCACGATCATTGTTTTCATTATTCCTCACAGGGATGCTGGACCCGATTTCCAGCAGGTGTTGCTCCCCACCAATAGATGGAGCCTCCACGACAGTGCTAGTGGTGTCTGCTCGTAACAACACCCCTAGCACTCGCTCGGGCAGTTTTTGTGAAAAAAAAAAAAAAAAAAAAAAGATGGTTTGTCTAATAGAATATTTCACTTCTGCCCTGACCATTGCTGGAGTCAAGCATAAGCGTTCTCCCCTTCTCACCCCTGAATTTTTCAGGTTTCACAAGGTCCATAATATGGCTCCTCTGATTGCTTCTTCCATGTAGGTAAGGTGCCTGGGCAGCGGCGCTCGTCCGGATGCAATTCCCAAAAGAACGAAAAGGTCATCCTAAGGAGGACCTGATGCTGGCACCAGGGCGTTTGTTTGTTCTACCAATTCCCAAAAGCCTTGGAAATTTCACAATGCAAATCAAAATGTTGAACATCTTCTATCCGAGTGCCCGGATCTGGCTGTTTGGAGCTGCAGCTTAAACCGCAAGTACACGGCCCCAGCCTTGCAGAAAGTTTTTGCCACCACAAGCAAAACTCGGAGGGGCCACGCGGCGAGGGGTGCCGTTGAAAAAAAAAAAACCGTTGGCCTCCGAAGTGGTGCGGGTTTCGTGCTGACACCCACGGGCTGATGTGTGGTGTGTACTGGTGCTTTAAACTGCCAGTATGTTTCCCACCTATTTTTCTCCGACATGGCTGCATGCATGCCACAACTTTTGGGGTCCGCTGACGGAGCAAAATGGCTGGCGGCACCAGCCAAAAGGAGGCCCACACGAGCTCTTTTTCTTTGGCACGCAGGCAGTTTCAAGCCCCGGGAAAAAGCGGCTCCGAAGTACTGGTGGTTTAATTGTTTCTGTGAATTCCTCCCCTTTTATCCTCACACCTTCCATCTCATATATGCATCTTTTCCACCAGAGAGCCCAGAGGACTATGATCCTCCCCAAGGCAAACATATGATTGGCGAAGGTGTCCATCTGTGGCGGGTTTCATGAGCTGCATAAAATCGCTCTCTAGTGCCATGGCCAGTTAAACCAACAGTACATCCAAGACACTTTTCTCTGGGGCTGGAAACCTGTTGCGCACCAAAGAAAAAACGACCAGCAAGGGTCTCCTTTTGGCTGGCGCCGTGAGTCATTTCTTCAGCATCCAAGCCCCAAAAGCCGCCCCAGCATGCAACCCACAACCTTGAAAACATAGTTCAGCCTGGGAAACGTAAACGTACCGGTGGTCTAATACCCACCCCTAGTTGTTGCCAAATTCTATCCCACCGTCTCCAGGCGTGTACCGCACTCAAGGACTGGAGACAGATGTGCTCTATAATTGTCTCACGGATCCTTCTCGAGGGGTATGCTGCTGATTGGCAGGACTTACACCATGGTAGGGCAATCCCTTTGTCACAGTGTACACTAGTTTCACAATCTCTTTCAAAATCTTTTTTTTTTTTTTTTTTTTTTTTTTT